ATTTATACAAACATAATTTCAGAGGGGAAGGGAAAGAGAAAGATAGAAACATCAGTGAGGAGAGAGAATTGTTAATTGGATGCCTCCTGCATACCCCCTATTGGGGATCAAGCCCACAACCCAGGCATGTGCCCTGACTGGGAATCAAACCGTGACCTCCTGGTTCATAGATTGACGCTCAACCACTAAGTTTGAGCCGGACTCTTTGTCCATTTTAAAAGTCAGATTATTTTACTATTGTGTTATGTGAGTTCTTTATGTATTTTGGATATCAACCCCTTACCAGGTATATTATTTGCTAATATTTTCTCCCATTCTGTAAGTTACCTTATTTTGTTGTGCTTTGCTACGCTATTGACTTGACATAATCTCACATATTATTTTTGCTTTTGTTGCTTGTACTTTTGATATAAAATACAAAAAATCATTGCCAAGATTGATGTCAAGGAGCATACCACCTATGTTTTCTTCTAGCTTTACAATTTCAGGTTTTAAATTAAGTTTAATCCATTTTTAATTTATCTGCATATATGATGTAAGGTAGGAGTCTAGTTTCATTCTTTTGTATGTGGCTGTCCAGTGTTCCTAACACCATTTATTGAAGCGACTATACTTTCCCCACTGAATGTTTTGCTCTTTTGTCATAAATTAACTGACCATATATTGGTGGGTTTATTTCTAGATTCTCTATTCTCTATTTTATTCCATTGATATGTGTCTGTTTTTATGCCAATACCATACTGTTTCAGTTACTATAGTTTTGTAATATAATTTTATTTTTTCTCCCTCTTTTTATTTATTTTGACATATTTTGATATGTCCATAAACTTATAAGTGCAATTATCACTAAACCAAGATACACAGGAATTTACTTCATTCCGGGGGTGAGAGGAGGGTCTCAATCTTACAGTGTTAGAAGAATAAAATACATTTGTCATAGTATACATTATCATATTCCCTTAAGCAGGGATTAAGGTTTTTATTTATTTTTATTTTTAAGAATATATTTTATTGAGGGATAGAGAGTTAGAAACATCGATGAGAGAGAATCATCCTGATCGAATCAAACCCGAGACCTTTCAATCCACAGGCTGATGCTCTATCCACTGAGCCAAACCGGTTTTGGCTGGAGAAGGTTTTTAAATTAAAATACTTTCTGGATTACTTCTGTCTGTACATTCAGAAACTATCATTATTTCACTGGCTACACACAATTATCCCATCATACAAAAAAACCTCAGTTGTATCCTAAGGTCTGTTTAAGTCCTTAGTAAACTAGTAAATTGCAATTTAATTAGCAAGCTATAAATCAGAACAATGTAGAAATTCTGCAGTTGAATTGTATTTCCTGTCTGTAGTATTGCTGCTATTAAATCTATTTTTTCCATGTATTAGAAGAAAAACAAAGCATTGATAGTCAAAATAAGATTTTCATTGTTGCAGTACATGATAGAATATATGAGAAAAGGAAGAGTTCCTAACGTCATGACAATCTTTATGAACCTTTACTAATGTAAAGGTTAAGGATTATTGTTTGTATATATTTGGAAAGGAATAAGAAACAAAGGCAGGTGGTTAGGACAGGCATATAAAGGGAATGCTGAGACTATATTACAATTATATTTATTTTTTACAAAAACTGATCTGAAGCTAGCTGTTAGTATAAATTCAACCTGATAATTTATTTGTGAATAAAGCTAGTTTTTTGTGTGTGTTTTTTAATCCTCACCTGAGGTAGTGTCTATTGATTTTAGAGAGAGAGGAAAGGAGATCAGCTGCTCCCCATATGTATCCTGACCAGGAATCGAACCTGCAAACTTTTTGGTGTACAGGACAGTGATCTAACCAACTGAGTTACATGGCAAGGGCAATAAAGCTAGGTTGGTGAGAAACAGTTTAATTCTTTCCTTTTAAACATAAAGAAACTTGAGAGTGAAACCAAGATGGTGGCCTAGGCAAACACCTTTACTGCTGCCTCGCACAACAATTTCAAAACTTCAACTGGAAGACAGAGAAGACATAGTCCAGAACCTCTGAAAAACTGGCTAAGTGGAAATTCTACAACTAGAAGGAAAGAGACTCAGAGGAGCCCTGGAGGTGTGGAGACCAGCGCATGCGGAAAGGGTGGGTGGCTGAAGACGCGGCTGGCTTACTCGCCACACGTGGAGAGGGCAGGCAACACGCACGTGGCTAGCTGGCTAGCTTTTTCATCTGGGAGGGAAATAAAACCTCCTGACTGCACTACAATCCAGCCCCAGTACCCAGACTCATTTGGAGAGAAACTGGACTGTCTGGCAGCGGGCGAAACCTGAGAGTAGCCTTCTCTCAGAGGTGCGTGCAGCCACTGCCATGGGACACTGAGACACGGGCCTCTTAGGGGCGGGCTGACTGGAAACCTTGGCTATCTGCTTCACTCTGAGACTCCATCCCATCCAAGCTGAGCACAGAAGCCCTCTCAGCAAGACACTGCTGATCCTCACAGCCCATTGGCCTGGAGGTCATCTCCCCCCAGTGATACCAACAACAATCAGGCTTCATCTCCCCCCAGTGATACCAACAACAATCAAGGCTTAACTACAACAAGACTGCACACACCAGGGTGCACCAAGAGTGTCCACCTCAGGTAACTGGGGAGGCTGAGCTACTGGGTCCTGCTAGAACACCTAGCACACAAAGCCACTCCATCAACTCAGGGAAGCAGCTAAAATGTGGAGACAAAGAGGCAGGCCACAAATGAAGTAAATGGAGGAAAGCAAAAGACCGGATATGGAATTCAAAACCACGGTTATAAGGTTTTTCAAGAATTTCCTAGAAACGGCCTATAAATTTAACAAGACCCTCGAGGATATGAAAAAGGATCAACTAGAAATTAAGCATACACTGACTGAAATAAAAAATATTATACAGAGACTTAAAAGCAAACTAGAGGATCGCAAGAATCAAGTCAAAGATTTGGAATACAAAGAAGCAAAAAACACTCCTCCAGAAAAGAAAAAAAGAATCCAAAAAGTTGAAGATAGTGTAAGACACCTTTAGGACAACTTAAAGCGAACCAACATCAGAATTATAGGGATGTCAGAAGAAGAGAGAGAGCAAGATACTGAAAACATTATTTTGAAGAAATAATGACTGAACACTTCCACCACCTGGTGAAAGAAATAGACTTACAAGTTCAGGGAGCGCACAAAACCTCAAACAAAAGGAATCCAAAGAGGACCACACCAAGACACATCATAATTAAAATGCCAAGAGCAAAAGACAGAAAATATTAGAAGCAGCAAGAGAAAAACAGTTAGTTACCTACAAGGGAGCACCCATAGGATTGTCAGCTGATTTCTCAACAGAAACTGCAGGCCAGAAGGGAATGGCAATAAATATTCAAAGTGATGAATAGCAAGAAAATACAACCAAGATTACCCAGCAAAGCTATCATTCAGAACTGAAGGTCAGATAAAGAGCTTCATAGATAAGAAAAAGCTAAAGGAGTTCATCACCACCAAACCAGTATTATATGAAATGCTGGAAGGTAGTCTTTAAGAAGAGAAAGAAGAAAAATATAGAGATAAAAATTATGAACAACAAATATATATCTATCAATAAGTGAATCTAAAACCCAAGGGAGCCAAAACTGGTTTGTCTCAGTGGATAGAGCATCGGCCTGGGGACTGAGGGATCCCGGTTTGATCCTGGTCCGGGGCACGTACATTGGTTGTGGGCACATCCCCAGTAGGGGGTGTGCAGGGGGCAGCTGGTTGATGATTCTCTCTCATCGATGTTTCTAACTCTATCCCTCTCTCTTCCTCTCTGTAAAAAAATCAATAAAATGTATTTTTTTAAAAGAATTCTTTAAAAAATAATAAAATAAAATAAAACCCAAGGGTATAAAAAAATCTGATGAACTATTAACTGGTAAATATAATAGAATCAGGGGCATAGAAAGGGAATGGACTGACAATTCTCGGGAGGAAAGGAAAAAGGGGGAGTGCAGGAAGAGACTAAACAAAAATGGTACACCTATGGATGAGGACAGTGGGGGGAGGGGAGTAAGGGCAGAGAGTGGAGTAGTGTAACCTGGTGGAGGGGAGCTATGGGGGGAAAAAAGAAACAATTGTAATAATCTGAACAGTAAAGATTTATTAAATTAAAAAAATAATAAAATAAACAAACTCATAAGGAATTTTAAAGGTAGTAGGCCAGAAAATGCAACAGTAACTCCTATACTGAGACATGTGTTAAAATACCGTATTTTTCGGACCATAAGACGCACTTTTTCCCCCCCAGAAGTGGGGGGGAAAAGTCCCTGCGTCTTATGGTCCAAATATAGCCTACACATATACTTTAAAAAAAAAAGTATTTTTACTTGCCCGGCTCTGTGTGGTCTCTGTGTGCTTGCCCGGCTCTAAAATGGTTCTAAATGCTGCTGTTTACTTTACAGGGTTGATTACATGTGTTTATGACTGTGATGTTGGGTTTTAATGCACATAAAATATTTTAGGACACTATTTGTTTCAGAATCTTTTTTTCTTCATTTCCCTTCTCTAAAAACTGGTGCGTCTTATGGTCTGGAGCATCTTATGGTCCGAAAAATACGGTACTTATCAGCCTATATAATCCAATTGGATTTTGGTATTTTTAAAAAAGCCATTTTATAAGAGCTATTACATCTAGAAGTGAAGAAAATAAATTATATGCCCTCCCCCCACCCCCAGGATATTGTTTAACCTTTAAAGCATCAAAAGCTATATAATATCTTATGCAAATTAATGAGTGTTCTTACAGAAATAGTATAGTTTGGGACCGATATTATGCTATATTTATGGTACTAGGCACAAGAATATGCATATCAATTAGGCATTTTCAGTCTAATTAGTCTCTAAAGTCATTTAATTGTTGGCACCATATAATAATTGGAGTGCATTTTGATACTTAAGTCATCGATTGTAGAGAGCAGGAAGCAGGATGATATAGTAATAGGGTTTGTATCAGACGATCACAGTGTTGAACAAATCTCTTCTATGAACTCGGTGATTGCTTTTTCTGTTGGTCATCCAAAGATGTTTGATTTGCTTGTTCCATATTCACATTTTCTCCAGTTGTAGGCGTCGATATTTCTTCATCTACCTCACTTAGTTCTTTTGAAACTAATTGCCTAGCTAATTTAAGGCTAAGTCCTTCATTGTCATGAAGCTTCCTTTTTATTTCAAACTCTAGCTGTTTTTCATTAGCTGCTCTGGTACTTTTCTGAAGCTTTTCTTCCCCATTTCCTATAGAGCACCTGAAAAAGAATAAACAGCAGGTAGCCAATAAAGACTTTTTACTTTCAGGTGAGAGGTCACTGTCTTCATCTCCACTGCTTTCTTGTTCGTGAATCAAATACTTCGGCTTGGAGCCTTTAGCGGCAGCTAATTTCCTAGCTAACATGTCTGGGTTCAGGGCTTCAAAGTTTTCCGAAGCGAATACATCTTCGTCGTCACTATCTATGCTATTGTCTGGAGTGCTTGGCCCGTCTACTTTAATTATGTCCTCGTCTTCTATATAATAGGTCGCCAGGATGTTCATTTCATCCCACCTCTGGGATTTTTTACTCAGCACGTCGCTGCTCTTGTGCCGCGGGTCCTGCATCGCCGAGGGCACCAGGGAGCAAGCGAGAGAGCTCTTGTTCTTCAGGATCCCCTTCACGGGCTGCTGCGAGGCCGAGGTCGTCATGGCCTGCTGCGAGGTTGCCATGGCCAGCCGCGATGGTGGGCGTCAGGGTCGCTGGTTGGTGCGCTGGGTCCAGGAAGGAAAGGGCTAGGGGGCAAACGGGGGACTGGCCAGGCAGCCGCCGAGCCCACCAGGGGCTACAGCGCTGCCCCTGCTGTCACGGAGACCGCGTTTGGCGTCGTCTTCACGACACAAGGACTCCGACCCCGACGCGCTGCTTCCTGCGCTGGCCGCTGGGTGCGCCCTTGGCCAAACCAACGCGCTTGCTTGATCAGAGAAGCCCGACAGCCTAACAGTGTTTCCCAAACTTCTCTCATGGTGAGAATCACCTGGTAGGGTTGTTAAAATACAGATTCCTGAATCCCAACTAAGAAGTGCTAACCTAGAATTTTTGGGAACATATAGGTAAAATTGTATACTTAAGTATTTTGGGGAACATATAGGTAAAATTGAATTTTGGGGAACATATAGGTAACATTGAATTTTTGGGAACATATAGGTAAAATTGTATACTTAAGTATTTTGGGGAACATATAGGTAAAATTGAATTTTGGGGAACATATAGGTAACATTGAATTTTTGGGAACATATAGGTAAAATTGTATACTTAAGTATTTTGGGGAACATATAGGTAAAATTGAATTTTGGGGAACATATAGGTAACATTGAATTTTTGGGAACATAGACATAAAATTGAATTTTGGGGAACATATAGGTAGAATTGAATTTTTGGGAACATATAGGTAACATTGAATTTTTGGGAACATAGACATAAAATTGAATTTTGGGGAACATATAGGTAAAATTGAATTTTTGGGAACATATAGGTAACATTGTATACTTAGTTTAGCACTTCTTAGTTGGGATTCAGGAATCTGTATTTTAACAACTCCACCAGGTGATTCTCATCATGAGAGAAGTTTGGAAAACACTGGCCTATAATATACAATAGTTTAAATCAGGAAGTTTGATGCCTTCAGCTTTGCTCGTTCTCAAGATTGCTTTGGTTATTTGGGGGTCTTTTGTGATTCCAGATATTTTTAGGAATTTTTTTTTTTTTTTTTTTTTTTTTTTTACACATCTGTGAAAAATAACACTGGGATTTCTATAGGGATTCCACTGATTCTGTAGATAGCTTTGGGTGGTGTGGGTATTTTAACAGCATTGATTCTTTTTTTTTAAACTTTTTATTTATTTATTTATTTTTTTTTATTGATTATGGTATCACATAATTGTCCTCCTCCCCCCATTCCCATCCCAAACTCCTCCCTACATATGTCCCCTCCCCCCTGCTGTCCATGGCCACTGACTAGGCCCATATGCATGCACACAGGTCCTTTGGTTGGTCTCTTCCCCTTACCCCCACCTTTCCCTCTGAGGTTTGAGAGTCTGATCGCTGCTTCTCTTTCTCTGGGTCTGTTTTTGTTCATCCATTTATGTTGTTCATTATTTCCAGCATTAATTCTTTTAACACATGAACACAGAGTAACTTTCCATTAATTTGTGCCTTCTTCAGTTTCTTTTATCAATGTCTTATAGGTTTTCAGTGTACAGCTATTTCACCTCCTTGGTTAAATTTATTTCTATGTATTTTATATTACCTTTGATGAAATGTAATGGGATTTTTTTTTGTAATTTTTCTTTCTAATACTTCGTTGTTAGTGCTTTTGCATACCGATTATGTATCCTGCAACTTTACTAATTCATTTATAAGTTCTAACAGTTTCTTTGGTAGAGTCCTTAGGGTATTTTATTATGTAATATTGTGTCATAGGCCAATGGTGACAACTTTACTTCTTCCTTTCCATTTGGATGACTTTTATTTCTTTTTCTTGCCTAATTGCTCTGGCTGGGGCTTCCTCTACTCTGTTGAATAAAAGTTGTGAGAGTTGGCATCCTTGTCTTTTTCCTGATCTCAGAGGAAAATTTTTCAGCTTTTCACCATTGAGGATGATATTAGCGGTGGGCTTGTCAGATATGTCCTTTATTCTATTAAGATATGTTCCCGGAGAATCCAAGATGGCTGCACAGGTAAACACCTAGCCGCAGCCGCACACAACAATTTCAATAAAATACAACTAAAATATAAAATGGACATTACCTAGAACTACAGGAAAGTCGACTGACTGGAAATTCTACAACGAGAAGCAAGGAGAAAACCAGAAGGAAGAGCAGAGGAGCTGTAAAAGCCTAAGGTACAGAGACACGCGGCGCGCGGAGAGGACGGAGCCCGAATGGAGGGAGGCTGAGTGCCTGGCTGGCGTTCCCTAGCGGGAAGGAGATAAAAGCTCCGACTGTGCTGGGCCCCAGTTCTGACTGCTCTGAACCCCAGTTCTAGGCCAGACCCCAGGACCCAGGCTCATCCATAGGGAGCTGGGCTGTAAGGCAGAACCCCGGGGGAGTGGCGAAAGGAGGTCCCGGAGGCGCGCACATTGCGCCAGAGAAGGGATGGTTGGCTGTGCCGTGGCATTGCCCTGACGGGAAGGAGACAGGGGCTCCAGACTGCTCTGAACGCCACCTCCAATCCCACTTCCAACTGAACTGAACCCCAGATCCGGGCGCATTGGGGGAGAGCCTAGACTGTTTGGTAGCAGGTGAAAATCGAGGGCACCTTTCTCTCAGAGGCGCTTGCAAGGAGTACTGAAGGACCCTGAGACTCAGGAGCTGCATAGGGTGGGGTTGACAGAAGCCAAGGCTGTAGGCTCCACCCTGAAACTCCGCCCCATCAGGGAAGCTTTGAAAATGCCGAGATGAAATAGATCACAAACGAAAGAAATGGAGGACAAAAAGCGACTGGATATAGAGTTCAAATCTACGCTTATAAGGTTTTCCAAGAATTTCCTGGAAAAGATGGATAAGACCTATGAGGATATGAAAAGGGATCAACTAGAATTAATAAGGAATCAACGAGAAATGATAAGGGATCAACAAGAAATAAAGAATACATTGTCTGAAATAAAAAATATTATACAGAGTCCTAAAAACAGAATGGAAGATCGCAAGAATCAAGTCAAAGATTTGGAACATAAAGAGCCAGAAGACACTCCTCCGCAGAAGCAAGAAGACAAGAGAATTCAGAAAATTGAAGATAATGTAAGAAACCTCTGGGACAACTTTAAGCGAACCAACATCAGAATTATGGGGGTCCCAGAAGATGAGAGAGAGCAAGATATCGAAAACATATTGAAAGAAATAGTGACAGAAAACTTCCCCCACCTGGTGAAAGAATTAGACTTACAAGTCCAGGAAGCGCACAGAACTCCAAATAAAAGGAATCCAAAGAGGACCACACCAAGACAATCATAATTAAAATTCCAAGAGCAAAAGACAAAGAGAGAATATTAAAAGCAGCAAGAGCAAAAAAGGTAGTTACCTATAAAGGAGCACCTATACGATTGTCAGCTGATTTCTCAACAGAAACCATGCAGGCCAGACAGGAATGGCAAGAATATTCAAGGTGATGAATAGTAAGAACCTATAGCCAAAGATAATCTACCCAGCAAAGCTGTCACTCAGAATCGAAGGCCAGATAAAGAACTTCACTAATAAAAAAAAGCTAAAGGAGTTCATCACCACCAAACCACAATTATATGAATTGCTGAAGGGGGTTCTTTCAGAAGAGAAAGTAAATAAAGATAAAAATTATGAACAACAAATACGTAACTATTAAGTGAATCTAAAAACCAAGGAAATTTTAAAAAATCTGAGGAACAATATTAACTGGTGACTATAATAGAATCAGAGGTATGGAAGGGGAGTGAACTGACAATTCTTGGGGAAAAGGGGAGAGGGGGATGTAGGAAGAGACTGAAGATAAACTGTGCACCTATGGATGAGGACAATGTGGGGTGGGGAAAGGGCAGAGGGTGGGATGGGAACCTGGTGGAGGAGAGCAATGGAGGCGGGGGTGAGAGGAACATTTGTAATATGAACAATAAAAATTTATTTTAAAAAAGATATGTTCCCTCTGTACCCACTTTGTTGAGAGTTTTCTGTTTCATAAATGGATGTTTAATTTTGTCAAATGCTTTTTCTGCATCTATTAAAATAGTTTTCTAAAAAATATATTTTTATTGACTTCAGAGAGGAAGAGAGAGGGAGAAATAGAAACATCAATGATCCAAAAGAATCCTACACACACACACACATACACACACACAAAAAAACTCCTGTTTCATAGATTGAGACTCAACCATTGAGCTACACCAGCCGGGCAAGATATCCTTCGTTTTATTAATGTGGTGTATCACATTTATTAATTTGTGGATGTTGAGCCATCATTGCATCCTTGGAACAAATCCCACTTGATCATGGTGTCTGATCCTTTTCATGTACTGTTGAAATTGGTTTGCTAATGTTTTGTTGAGGATTTTGCATTTATGTTCATCAGGAATATTATATTTTCTTATACCTTTTTTACTTTGTGCATGCATTATTCTCTGACCTCAGTGAGCATCTTTGTGACATATTTTAAATTCTTTTTTTAGATAAGTCACTTATCTTCATTTTATTAAGGTCTGTCTCTGGAGTTTTATTTTATTCTTTTGTGTGGAACATATTCCTCTATTTCTTTATTTTCCTTGCCTCTCTGTTGGTTTCTGTGCATTAGGTAAAACATCCCTTTCTCCCAGGCTTGACAGAGTGGACTCATGTAGGAAATTAATCTTACCAATGGGTAGGAGTCACTCAACTAGTTTCTGAATTTCTTTCAGAGGGAATTGCTCCAGGTATAGTTGCAGATTTAGTTCATCAGTTGAGAGGTCAGTTCAGGAAGTTCCTTTGTTGCTATCTTGGAATGGAACCCTTTTTTTTTAATTTCACTTTTTTGTTGTTTTTAAATGATTTCAGCGAAAGGAAGGGAGAGAGAGAAAGAGATAGAAACCTCAATGATGAGAGAGAATCATTGATTGGCTGCCTGCTGCACGCTCCCCACTGGGAACCAAGCTCAAAATCTGGGCATGGACCCTGACTAGGAATCAAACTGTGACCTCTTGGTTCATAGGTCCATGCTCAACCAACCACTGAGAAAAACCAGC